GGTGTAGTTGGTTGTGTTTTGGGGTTATATGCCGAAGTCTAGGCTTTAAAACCAAGTACAGGCTCAATTTTGTTCTCTCCTTTCATCGGTGTGTCTTGTCCGGGTTTGTAGTTCTCTGCTATGACACTATGAAATGTTTTTTATGATGTCATCCTCATCCCTACTTTCATTCTGACCGATTTATTGAATCAATGCAGTTCACATGACACTGGACACTTTTTGCCTGATTCTGTTAGTTTTAGTTACCGTGTCTCAGCAGCCCGCTGGGGATCCCCGGCTCGGGGTCACGGGGATAATGAGCCCAGAAGCGACCTTGCCGGTGTCGGTTAAGAAGTTCGCATTTTTGTCTACGTTTGAAACGATATAACTTCTTTCCCATCCCACACAGCAAACCATTACACCACTAATGTACGAAAAGCTCAATTTCTTGAGATTAATTTTGCATTGGAATGTTTAATTTCTGTGCCTTAGTTTTTGTTCTAGACTAATGTTTGTGGAGTACTCAATTTGTCCTATTTTAGTTACTTACTTATTTATGAATAAATGATTGTTTATTTAGCCCCTTCAATGCTGCTGGTAAATAGACCCATGTGCTGGCGAAAATACCGTGAACCAAGGCGGCTCAGGGGTGACCCCATTCTACGTTCCATAACTTTTTTATTTTTGAATATTTGCTTATTAATTTATGCATATGTACATTTTAAATTGAACCATGTTTCTATTGATAGAATTTTAGATGGAGAAAAGTTGGACGTTGGAGTTAGTAACATGATGCCAAAAACAACACCACCAAACAACATAAAACAACTCACATTCGAGTAATGATAAACTGAGACAAAAAAGGGGAATATGTGTTGTGCGAGTGTCTGCAGATAAAGAGGAAGTGACAAGAGGCTTTTCCTACCTTATACAACGCTCTTAAAATCCTGTATATACATGCCTGTAAGGCCGTCTGTGTTTACTGCCGATAAATCATTTTTGTGTGGTAGAGGTGTTAGTAGATCTAGATCTAATCTTCTATTTGAGCTAAAATCTGAATCTGACTCTTTCAAATGGGGGGGGGGATGGTGGTAGACATAAAGGGAAGGTACCTCAGTTATAATAGCAGTAACTTCCCTTAAAATTGGTGTCAAAACAACCTCTGTCACAGTCATGTAAATTCTACGGGCCCTAGGCACAGCGCTATTATGGTTCAGGCCCATAAATTCTACGAGCGCGGCAACTAAGAGATTAAACACGGCACGACAGATCTCTCCAAAATCAGTGTCAAAGTGACTACGAATATCATGTCTTTTACCATGAGAAATCTTAAATCTGCACAATACAGTGGAACTCGGATTCAACGAGAAGAGATAGATTCCCCGGGGTTTTTTTTCTTCTTTAAAATTGAAAAAAAAAAGTAACCCCGATTCAACAAGCACTTAGATCAGCGAGCTCGGATTCAACGAGGTCGCTTCCAGGGTGAACATCACCCCGCAGACGTGGCTTCGCTCATTTTTCTCCCAGAACGAACTTACTCTATTCCCGGAAACCATCCATTGCCCCTGCATCGGGAACCATCATTCACTAAGCCGATTGCATGCAACCAATCAGCGTCCTTTTTTCATACCAACACATGCGTTGTTGCCACGCGCACGTGTCTACTCTAGCATCTGTCGGGGTTGGATAGGCGGCCTGCCTACGTGTGACTGTGTGTGTCGTGGGGAAGGGGGGCGCCAGCCGTCTGGGTGTTGAACGTCGCAGATACAAACCCATCACAATCATTTTTTCCCCGGGCAACTGATCATTATTACAATGATAAGCTAGTCTTGACGTAGATCTACGTAATGAGTTGTGCGCTGGTCTATGGAATCAAAAGTTGCCGTATATTAAGCTCAACACAGCATCACAACTTTTTGGCAAACAATCGAGATGACACAGGCATGCATTTGAAAGAATCGTTCTTTTTTTTGCACAGTTCATAAATGCAGGTATTTCAGGCACTTCTCTTTACACATTATTTGCTCAGTGTCTGTAATTATATTTACACAAAACCTCATGTTTGCTATAACAAACACTTGGATTCAACGAGATTTTAGGTCCGTCCCGGCGACCTCGTTCAATCTGAGTTTCCCTGTAGTAATAATCAAGTTATAAGAGAACAAAGATGCACATCTCCTTTTTTTGACAAAAGACACTCGAATCAGTGTTAGCTTTTGTTTTACCATCAAACAAGAGAAAGTTACTCTGCGTTTGTTCTTGAATCATGCTGTGTTTGTGGCAGCCTGCATACAACTAAGAAAGATATATTATGCGATTTAAAAAAAACAAAAAACTGTGTAAATACATGGGTAGAGATGAACTTCCTGATCTTCTATGGAATAAAAATAATGACAGCTAGCACTTTCATTCTCTTAGTTTATGTGTCAGAAATATACGCAGACACTTATGAATGTAAAGAAGTCTGAAAATTGTCTGTTATTTTAAATGGTCATAGATATAAAAATGAAAGCTGGAAAAGTCTGGTGCTGATTCAGTGTCATCGGTAAACTAGAAACTATTCTTATTACCCAGTTATGAGAAGTCATCCCTGTTATTCAGTCAACTTACAAAACTTGGAGTGTAACGGTTACTGTTCTTGTATTACATCGTAGATGTATTCTGGCCCTAATATCGATTTGTACTTTTTCATAGAGGGTAATTTTTGTAAACTTTCGAGAAAGTATGTGAATATTCACGATTATATTATACACATAAAGTTGTACGGGCAGAAAGCTTTAATTTGGAACTTTATCCGTCTGGTACACTATTCGCTGTGAAGTAATTCCTCCGAATACGAGGGACGTTCAGAAAGTAAGTATCGTTTTTTTAAAAATAGTCATAAAAGAAATAATTTTCTCAATCAAAACGATTTACTTTTGAATAGCTCATATTATGACTACTTCTCCACGTAGTCACCAGAACTGTTGAGACATTTGTCGTAGCGTGGGACGCGCTTCCGAAAGCCCTCATCATAGAAAGCTGCCGACTGCGATGTCCGCCAATGTCGAGTCTCTCCCCTGAGATCAGCGTCTGAGTCGAAGTCCTGCCTGGCCAAAAACGTTTTCAAAGACAGGAACAGATGAAAGTCACTCGGAGCCAGGTCTGGGCTGTACGATGGGTGCTTCTACTGTTCTCATCCGAAGGAGGCGATCAGGTTTTGGGTCTATGCAGACCTATGAGGAGTTGCATTTTCGTGAAACAGAACAATGCCTTTGCTAAGCATTTCTTCTTTTGTTTTGAATCGCTCTACGCAGTTTTTAAAGTGTGTTGCAGTACACATCAGAATAAATTGTCATCTCATTTCCCTAAAATTCTACTAAAAACACTCCTTGTCTGTCCCAAAGCACTGTACACAACTTTTTTTTTACTGACGCGGCCTGCCTGAACTTTTTTTTGCTGGGACGAATCTGTCTGCTTCGACTGCTGCTTTGACTCGGGCGTGGGGTGGTGCAACCAGGTCTCATCCCCCGTCACAATATGAGTAAGAAAATCATCTCCTTCGTCAATGTAATTTGTCAGGAATGTCAATGCGCTGGCAGCCCGTTGATCCTTATGCGCTTGTGTCAGCTGCTTGGGTACCCAGTGTGAGCACATCTTTCGATAACCCGAATGGTCGGTGACGATTTCATGCAGAAGCCATCTTGAAATCTCAGGAAAGTTTGAAGAGAGTGAGGAAAGGGTAAAACGCCTGTCTTCCTTTACCTCAATGTTAACTTTGTTTATCAAATCATTAGATCTACTGACCAAAGATGGATTCCTTGGTTCATCATGCACATTTTAATTTCTCGTTCCTCTTTGAACATGCGAACCCATTTCTGCACCACATGCTTTCGCCCATTACATTTTCACCATACACTTCAGAAATCTTCCTATGAATGTCGCTAGGCTTCGTGTTCTTTGCAGTCAGAAAACGAATAACCGACCGAATTTCACTGTCAGCGTAATGTTAAATCTTGGAAGACATGTTGAAGCTTCAAAAGGGTGTAGGATGTTTGGTACAAAATGTGTCTGTGTAAAATGGCGGGGAAAAAACTGGATGAGATGTTTTACAAGTGTTGTAGATTGTTGTTTACAACGGCATGATGGAAGCTGAGGGCTCTTTCCGGTTCAGTATTGAACACATCAGCTCACTGTGGTGCAAAAATCGGGAATATCATAACCCAGTTGAGAGAGATGTGAAAACGGTGCTTACTTTCTGGACGTCCCTCCTTGTATGTGCACGGATACCATCTTTTCTGAGTATCTGCACTAATGCTATATCATTCATGTTCCAAAAGTTCGAGAGTGTTTATCTTGCCGTTTTTTTTCATATTGATTTTTTATTTCATTCACACTGGTCCAAAAAAATTTACAATTTAACATTGCCGACATCAGCGCGTGTAACGAAATAACCGGACAAGTTACAATGTCCATTCTCTTTTTACTCTCAAGAGCAGAAATGCATGCTTTGGGTGCATAAAGGGATAATTACCATAAATACAAGGACACACCTAAAGCTTTATGTTGAAAAGTACCAAAAATTAAATCAGCCCAGACAGAGCGGCAACAGGGAACTGACCGTTGTGACCCCGACGTGATAAGGCGCTGGGCGGGGAACCTCCCGATGCAACTAAAATTCCACTGCCGGTGCGCCGTGATGAATGGTGGTAGGACCTATCTCATAAAAATGTTCTAACAACTGAAAGGTAAATTATGCTGATATGGTATAGAGGCAAATCATTCTCTGGGGAAGGAATCCTTTGTGCAGAGTTTCAGGCTTGCTCACAATCTAGGAAAGTGGAACGGATACACAGGTCATTGAGCGTAAAATCCTGGTAAATTATATCTGGAGATGACGTTATTGGGCAAGAAGAAAAAGAAGATGACTAGATTGTGGATAAGTGATTGTAAAGCGGCGGTAGAGGATTCTGTTTTTCCTTGACATTTTATATTATGTTATTGTGTAGGGTGTGCAAGTTTTAAAAACATTAAATGGCAAGAAAGTCCTGTTTTTCATGCCTCTGTCATATCAGCGAGTTAGACAAAAGAAAGATTATCAACACTTTCTGCAATTGATTGTTGTAGAACAGTGTCTCTCCACTTTCAAACGTATGGAGTTTTCAGAAGTACGGTACTCTTATATCTTTTAAGTTGGTTAAAATGTCCTTTATAGAGATCTTGAACTCATGTTACATGAACACTAGACCTTCAGGATTTGTGCTTGTTTGCTGGCCATCATGCCTGCCTACCCTGACATCATTTTTGTGAATCTTTGATCAAACCAGGTACTTTATAATGAAGCGAACATGTTTCCTCAAAACAAGCTAGTCTTTCTGTATGCTGTCAAGAACAGTTTGCTTAAAACAGTACCTACACTTGTGAAGATGATACAGGTTTAGGAAAAGAAATTGTTACAGCTCATTTCTTTTTCTCACTGATTCATCGTATACATTTTTGCTCATGAGATATTCATGTCATAGTGACAGATAAGTAGCGCTTGTATAATAGCCCAAATTCCCACTCAACAGCTGTCTCTATGCACATTAGGCCTATAATTATATTTTTATCCCAGCAGACCTGATAGCATTCTGAAACAATCTCAACTTCTGGAGAAAAATGCAGTGCACGTTGCCATTTTGAAGGCCCTAAAACACAAACACACTCATAATGAAGAGACTACATACAAACTGGAAAAGTCTTCTGATTTGAACAGTGCTACAAATCTGTCATAGATGAGTGTGTTTCTGAAAAAATGAACAGACAGGTAGACCCCTCGGATGCTGTGCACCAAAATTCACAGAAAAAGTTAGTTGTCTTCCTTCCTTGAGGTTTTCTTTTCAAGTAGAATCAGTGATCTGCCGTAGTGGGCGGGGGACACAAAAATGTATTGTTTTGCCTGCAAGAGATGTGAATCTCCTGTGGGTCGACTGCTTCTTATATGCCACAGTCTCTCTGACATAGGATGGCGATGTTGCTCCTGGCCTACTTTGTCTTTTGTTCAGCTCTCCCTTCATGCTGGTTTGATTTAGCTTCTCATCTGATGAAATGGAAAAGGACCCCCAAAACCCACGAGTCTGGTGCCTTCTTTCAAAATAACCACTATGATTTTGTCTCATAGGGCATTATATGTGAAGTTCTTTAACTCACCCAGCCCTAACGCCAATAGTATGGGTATGGAAAATTCCGCTCTCGTGACTGGTCTCCGACGAAAACACTACTTTTGTGTGAAGCAGACCATAGCCTAATTAAAAGAGTAACCATTTTTTGTTTGAAACAGACTATGACTCAAAGTGCAAGCCCAAATTTAGAACCAAAAAAAGCTATATATTCGTGAACCGTGTGAGGGGGTGCAAAATTTGAATGCACTTTCTTTCTTCACTTTTTGTTTACTCTGTAGACCTTTTTCCTCGGAATATTGCATAAACTCACATCAAATAAGAACAGACTGTATTCTATAACTTATATGTGACCCCTGGCCATTTCTTTAAGAAACCGACTATTACAAAGGCAAAGGTTGCTTTCTCGACCTGCAGAAAATAATTTAGCACCTGGTGATTAAGTGAAAAATTAGAACGAGTCTTGGTCTTTCATCCGAGCCACTTTTCAATTTGTGTTGCTGACCCTTTTCAAATGGCAATATCTCACAGACTATCAAATATTTTCGAATTCTGTAAATGACTAAAAAAATTGTGTGTAAAATATTACGGCGATTGAAGTTGATTTAGCTTTTTTCCGATTTTACTGAAACACCTTAAACCGCTAGGCACAACCAGTAGACTGGATCCTCGGCCCCAGGGCTGAGTGAGTTAATGGGCATGAAAAATGTTGATGAAAAAAAAATAATAAATAAACCTGTGAAAAAATGCCAGTTTCTTCACTTTCACGAGTGCCTGATTTTACCACGCTGCCACACATATTATTTTGAAAGAAAAATTAGTCAATGTATATATATATATATATATATATATATATGTATATTTTGCTTTCCTCGGGCCTAGGTGAATTCCTTAACTTCACACAGTTTTTTTAAGAACCTTGCAATAAAAAGACATGTAAAGCTGACGACCAAAACATGTTTTTCCAAAGCGTCTCAGGAGAAGCCTGAATCAGGTTTGGCTTTGTTTCACATTTTTCTTTGTTTTTGGTAATTGCTATTTCTATACAGTGGCATCTGTGTGACTGAATAAATTGAAATATAATCCAAATAAACTCAAACAAAAAAGTCAAGGAACAAAGATTCAAAGAAAGATAACTGAAGAACAGTTTATCCGAATTTATTCATTTTTTCAAAAAAGATGCTTTCAACTCTTTAGATTAAGTGTGTACAATTTCAGATTTCAACAAGAACGGGAAGTTCAATGTAAAGTGAATGTAAGTTACACTGGTCGGATTTCAAAAGTCTGAACTGCCATAGTTTTTCATGAACATTGTCAATAGCGGGTGTAGCCAATCCGTTTGATCAAACAGTCGGCACAACATAGACGCATGGACAGGACATGCCTTCGGAGAACTTGTTGCAGTAGGTTCTGCCGCTCCTGGATGACGCAACCCATGAGTTGTTGAAGGTTTTGTGCAGGAGGGTGGTTGTCTCTTATCCACCGGTTAATGTGTTCTCTATTGGGTTCAAATCCAGACTACAAGCTGACCAGCCCATGCGAGTGACAGCTCGCTGCTGCAGGAAATCCCCCACAATGCGTGCGTGATGTGGCGCAGCGTTGTCGTCCTGCAGTACAGCCTGGGGTCTAATCTGCTGCTAGAGAGGAACAGCAAGGGGACGCAGAATTTTCTCCCTGTACCTTGCGACGGTCAAATTGCCCTGTATATGCTACAGGGGGTCCTGTGATGAGCTGAGAAGCCTCCCCTCACCAGAACAAACCCTCCACTGTAGGGCACCACCTGCTGGATGCACTCAGGGTAGAACAGCTCTCCTCGGCGCCTCCAGACGTGGGCTCGCCTGTCTGAGAGCAGCAGGTTGAATCTGGATTCGTTCGAGAAGACTACCTGGTCCCACTGACATTGTGTCCACTGTGAATGGCGAGCAGACCCCGCCCGGCCAGCTGCTTTGTGGGGCGGCGTGTGCTTTGGGTGCCTTGCAGGGACACGAAAAGCAAACTTGACTCTGCGGATACAGTTCCTTACCATCTCCTCGCTCTCGTGGACATTGACTGTCACCCATAGTTGGTCCCTGATGGCGTTTGCAGTAGTGATCCATGACGTCACGGCCTGTCTGAAGATGAATCGGTCGGTGCTGCTGTTGGTCGAACGGGGCGGCCGTGGTTGAGGCCTGTCCTGGACCCTTCCGGTCGCTCGCCATCGTTCTTGCAGCCTCTATTTGACTGATTGGCAAATTTGCTGCACAGGCAAACTGTCAAGTCATCAGTGCGTTTGCCAAGTTTGGTTTAAATTTGACAGGTGAAAACACAAGTTGTTCCTTGACTTTTTTGGGCGAGTTTAGTATATAGGCCTACTTTATAAATGCAATAGATATATGATTATTAACATGGAGTATGAATTCTGCTTTAAACTGTTCAAAATTTTAGTTTTTGGCTTGGGGAATGAAGATGAAGATTTGAAATCTTTCCACTGCAACAGGAATATGGGGTTGGACGATTATTTATTCTTAAATTAAGTTTACTGTATAGGGGGCCTACTGTCAAAATTGTTACGACAGCCATTCATTGTCGAGGAGAAAAGTGTTGTGAAACGGATAGATGTCTTGGGCAGTGTCGTTATAATATAATGTAGAAAAAAACACCG